CCATTTCTAAAAATAGGGGTGTTCCGAACATTTTGGAAAACTGTTGCAGTCACTATGAGCGTGGGTCTGTGGTTATGGGCTAGGATCCCAGATGCAGGCAGACAAGAAGCAGATTGAAATAATAGGTAAAGAAATGATAAGCAGCTGATTCTTATGGCTACTTTGCAGTTATTTCCAGTCAAGATCCATGCCAAGATTGTGAAATAATTACAGAAATTATATTTCTTATTGCCAGCTTCCATGGGAACGATGGCTCAGGACCAAATTCTGCAGTTACCTGAAAATCTTTGCTGCATAACTTTATAGCCTGTTTAAACTGTGCCAGCCTCAGCAGAAATTTGTCTGGTAATGTAAGGAATACTATGTGTATGTGTTCAATAGCATTAGACTTATATATCACTTATGCTAGACAGACTCCATGTATAAATAGATAAATGCCACCCTACAAGGGTTTGTGGATCCAGCAGGTCACTAGATTTCTGTGCACTCACCTAAATCTCAATAGTCCATTCACCTTTAAGCCAGCATTTTTACCATGTTTGTTGATCCAAGTTGGTTATATGAAACTAAGCCAAATATTATATATATTGTCTTACTTTAGTGATGTGTGTGACCCAAGCCAAGTAGCTTGTCAATGGGACTCGATTTCCCGACTTCAAAATCTGGAACAAGCAGGTCTTGCTTCAGATGTGACTATAATACAGCTAAGTTCTTCATTGGATGATTACACACTTTCAGAATTGAAAGATTTGGCAAATTATTTGTAGCTGGGCCATTCAGTAGGCTCAATTCATATTAAAAACAGACACTTTGGAGTACACAGAACCTCTCTGTTAAAGCACCTTATGACTTTTCCTTGGATTATGCGGCAATTGCAACTGTTTTCTCTATTGTGTTCCGCTGCCAATTCTTTTAAAGTTCACACTGAAACTAAAATTATTTTAATATATATGAAGAATTGGCATCGCAATGCAGAGGCTGGGTGGGTGTACAGCCATCAATTAATAACAATGTCTATGTGCAGTAAGACAGCATTGGAACACTTTTCATTCTTCAAAGTTGTAAGACCATTCAAAATGTCACATTTATTTTGTTAAATTTAAATCTGTTAAATGTATTTACCTGCCTAGTTTAAGTTAACTTCTCTGCCATTGTATACGCTAATAGGTTGCCGGTACACAGTTGCTGCCACTTGTCCCATTTATAGGCCCAAGCTTTATCTTCTTTGGGCAGTTTCTGCCCCCATCCGTTCACTGCTGCCATGGTTAACTGAGGAAAGGACAGCCCTCACAAATCTAAGCAGTCTAATCAAACTATTCAGGAAAATCCAACCCTTCATTCTGTGTTACCCTATGCCTGAGACAATGAGGAAAGAAGAGAATGTAAAGATGCAGGATAAAGCACTCAGAATGGAGTAACTACAATACCTCTTAACAGTTGCACACTTGAGGGCCAGCTCTTTGGAATAGAAGAGCAGCTTTTGCTAATACTAATTATAAAAAGGAATCCAAAGTCCATTTTATCTAACTGATTGAAGTGCTAAAAGGCTGCTGATCTAGAGCAGCCATTCCATAATTGTCCTTTATGTGGATTTGCTATGTCATTAAATGCTTTTCAAGGCCACTGTAATGTAGCATCTGTGGACAACTTGGCATCTGCAGAATCATATATATATATATACACACACATATATATTGCAAGAGAACTAGATCCAATCTCAGATTGCCGTGAGATCATGATATCTTAAAGCTCATGAGGTTCTATGCAAGATGCCAACATTTTAGGAGACCTGGTGATCTCCCAAGATTTTGAAATAGATGGAAGAAACATCCTTCCCTCCTTTCTTTCCCCCGCCCCTAACCACACCAGGGAATACAAGTGGCATACCAGCTTGAATGTGGCATACTTATTGTTGCATTTGCTCAGAAGAATCAAGTAACCTGTGTGTGAATTTGTCCATGTAAGAGAAATGTGATGAATATTATATGTTGCAGCTATGTGTACATATGTAAAATATTTAATTCTGTCTCCATAATGGCTGATATTGTAGCCCCAAAGCTTCTTTGCCCATACCATGTTGTATATAGAACACTATGCTGAAAAGTTTTGGAAACAAGTGGAAGGAGTTAAAACACAGTTGCTACATCAGTAGCTGCAGCAGGGATGGGCTCCGGCAGTTACTACATCCGGTTTGCTTGTGGGTGCTTCGTGCATGCGTGTTTGATGCGTACTGCACGCATGCACAGAGCAATAAAAATTGCTCTGCGCATGCACAGAAGCAAAAAACAAGAGAACCGGTTCGGGGGAGTGGTAAGCCTGGGTCGCTGCTGGTTCCAGCAACCCAGGCTGCCAAACTACTACCGGTTTGGCCGAACTGGGAGGAACACAACACTGAGCTGCAGGGTATTTAAAATAACCCTCCCTGACCTCTGTTGACTAACCTCTAGGCTGATTCCCCCTTCTCCTGTGAATTAAAGTATTTTCTTTAATAACCAGATGTTTGTTATTTGTTAGAATTAGTTCTCATTGTTTAATGGATAAGGGGCTGGGTATAGCTGAAAGTCCATTTCACAGAACTTAAACATATTTTGTTTTTGCTCAGAAGGACGTCCAGATGTTATTCATGAGTGTGTGTCAGATTGTAGCCTTATGAGAAAAAAAAAAAGACTGGTATCAGGGAAAAACAAAATGTTTCTAGTGTTGTGTTTTACCTGTATTAAAGAAGCAGAATGCTTGTGTTTCTTCAATGATCTAAGTGAAAATTCTGCACTGATGTTTTTAAGGCAACCTTTTTATAACCTAGGAAATTATCAGTGCATTCTCAATGTTACTCTGTTCAATAACTTTCTCCTGAAATAAGATATTGCCCACCATTTAATGATCCCAAATAGGCTTTTAAAAAAAAAACACGCACCCAATAAAAACAGAATCATAATGCTTCTTCACAATTGTAATGGAAACAGAGGTTCATCAGCATCACACAATGCTGCTGCTTTCTCCACTGGAAAATTCCCCGGATGCTCTTGGCAACGTGAACTTGACATACCTGTTCCGCTCCCACCCACCCCTGATGCGCTGCAGTCTTTGGCTCATACAAGGAAAGTTGAAAAAGAGCTTAGCTAGGATTATGGTGCATGGTACCAGGAGGGTGAGGGTGAAAGTGGGAGGCAGGTAAAACTTGTATTGGTTTTCATCAAAGGCTCTTGTCCATCCGTAAGTCAAGGTGTGGAATGTGCTGATCACCAGAGCAACAAAACCGAGGGTAGACTGAAAAAAGTGGGAAGGAATGAAGACCTGTTATTTTCTGTAATGTTAACTTTTATACTCTACTTCAGAGGTGTCAAACTAATTTCATTGAGGGCCACATTAGGGTTGTGTATGATCTTGGGGATGGGGGTGGCTGGGCATGACCAGGATGGGTGTGGCCAGCTCACTCATGTTGGGGGCATGAGCGCTCTGCCAGCGAAAATGAAGCTTGGGAGGGCCGAGCTCAGTTTTTGCTGGCAGAGGGTTGCAGGAAACCATCACAGCTGAAAACAGAGCTTGTACTGTAGGCTAGTCCTTTGCTGTTTCTAGGATGGCCCCGATCTAAGCACCCTGCAGGCCAGTTCCGGCCGCGGGCCTTGAGTTTGACACCCCTGCTCTATTTCAAACATACATCCAGACCTGGAAATTTATCTTGATTCACTCAGGCACTTAGCACTGAATCCTTGACTCAACAGAATTTAGTCTCCAGTAAACCCACAAGCAGTTAACTTACACATGAAAAATATCCCTGAAATGTGATATTAATTCTGTTGAAGTCAATGGAAACATAACTGTTAATTTTGTTAGGGTATAGTCAACCCCTTTCCAGTCATTTAGATGAGCAATGGACACCTGCACCCCAAGTCCAATGAGATTTTGAAAAATAATAGTGATATAGGAAATTGGAAGGCTCTGGGAGGAACTCTGATCCCATTGCCATTTGTAAATTGAGCACATCATGGGTGCAAAAGGTTCATTTCTGCCCCTTCAAAAGACTTAAGTTACCACTTATAACCTGGTAGAAATGGGTTGAGCTGAATGCCAGGTGTGCTTCAAACTAGATGGAGATAAAACTAGATGTTGGCCTGAACTCTCTCCTCATCAGCAGCCAAAGATATGGAGGAGGCCCGTGTTTACAGTGACACAGCCAGGGACTGTTATGAGTCCCAAATGATATATTAGACTGCAAATCTGGCTTGCTTTGACTTTTAAAACAGTAATGTGTAAATATGCAAGACTCTGACATACGTTAAAGCATCTTGCCCTGTGCTGAATTGTAATAGACGGATTTGGGAAGGAAGTGCATTTTTTAAAAAAAAGAATCATTATGCCATTTCTTCTAGAAACAAGGACTGAGCAAATATCATGAGGGAGCCGTAACTGGTAATATGAAATATGTGCTTGGTTTACAAGCAGTTGCCATTTGGGAGGCCTGAGGCTCGCATGGCTGAAAACTTCCACATGGCTTCATGTGCCATAAATCTGCACATAATAGACATAGGTAGCTAAGTTAACAGAGCTCTTAGTTCAAATATCATTGAAACCTCCTTCAGACCTAACCCAATATATACCTTGAATCAAATACGTGGAGCAATAACTTTGGAGCCCTTGTGTGATGTTGTAATCTTTTTAGCAGAGCCTCAGCCAATAGAAAAAAATTCAACAGGATCAACCTTTGCTGGAGAGGGACATGGGTCCCTCTTTATCATTTATGTTGATAAATTTAAGCAAATCTATGTACGTATGGATTTCCCCTTTGCTTATATGCCTTAGTATGGCTGAATTCAGTCACTGTGACTTAACTGTATGCAGCAAATCATAATTAGAACAAAACCAGGGCTTTCGTCTAAGGACTCAACAAGCATCCTTCCTGAAAGGATTACGGTATTTTCAGCTAGTCCTTTATGCATTCCACATTATCTTATTACAACACAATGGTACAGCAACCATCTCTGAAAGTGCACAAGGCTGTCTGGCACAAGGATTCCTTGCCTGTCAGAGAAAGTCATTAGCATTGACCTTGAAAAGGATTTTGCCTTTCTGGCTTATTACAGGAGTGCTGTAATCAGAACAAGAGCCCAGAAAGCCATGTCAGAGCAGGAAACAGAAAGACTAACCTAAGTGGATGTACAGAAGTAATTGGTGACATTGTTTGATTTTGTTAGAAAATTAGGACTGGTTTCAAAACCAGGAACATCTATTTATATTCTGGGTGATTTTTTTTTTTTTTGCAGTGCTCTGGTGTTTTAAGCTAAATCTCTGTCTCATTAAACTGGAACAGCTTCTTGCTAGGATCTCTTTTGACGATGAGACAGCTCTGAGTAGCAAAAAACTCTTCTGAGAATCGACTGCTTTCATTCATCAGTATCCCTTTCCGTTACCCTCGTTTTCTTCAGCCATGGGGGATGCCTGCAACATCCTTCACCAGAGCAGTCCGCTGGATGTCAGGTGAAGGTTGTAGTGAACCAATGTCTCTCTTGAAACCAATGAAACTGTCAAGGTTTCCTATAGGAAATCTTCTTGGTACACTACAGTGGAGTTCCCCAACCTTTCTGGCTTGGTGGCCTGGAGTGGGGGGCAGGTGGTTTTATATGCACATGTGCAAATGGCTGCAGGTGGGCATGATGTTCGTGGTGACGGCAGTGTCTGCTGTGAGGGTAGCATCTGCACTACGTTCATGCAGTGCTAATGTAAGTGGGTGAATTGTGTGTGCCCATGCATGTCCACTGGCCAGCCACTCATGTGGCCTGATGGCCAAGGCCTGGTAGTGGGCTGTGGCGCACAGGGTGGGGACCCCTGCACTATAGGATCTTCTTGATGCACATGTGCGGTTTGTGGAATTTTGTCATCACTGAAATATTCACCCTCGCTGCCAAAAGGGTCCTTAAAGAAGTAAAACTGTTGTTATTATGGGGCTCTATTGAGAAAGATGTTTTTCTAGAGCCACCAACATTCCCCCCTCCTCAACTGAACTTAGGGATCCCAGGGTTTTCGGTCTTAATTTAATCCCCACTTTTGACCACTTATTCTTTTCAGCCCACCCATCTCACAGGGCGGTTGTGGTAGTAAAGAAAATAGGAGGTGGGGACCTGGGCTGGGTTCCGGCAGGCACTACTGCTGGTTGGCTCATGTGCACACTTCGCACATATGTGCAGTGTAATTAAAATTGTTCTGCGCATGCACAGAACTGAAAAACAAGATGGCGCCGCCCGGGGAACCGGTTCAGGGGCGTGGTAGGCTTGGGTCACTGCTGGTTCCAGCGACTCAGCCGCCAAACCACTACCGGTTTTGCCGAACCGGTCTGAACTGGTAGTACCCACTACTGATGGGGACATAATAGGTATGTATATATGCTGCCTTGAATTGGATAACATCTGGATGGCCAATCATCAACATCATGTAATAATCTGAGTTTTTGGATTCCACTTTCTATCTCGCTCAGAACAGAGGGTGGACTTCATCTCATCTAGGCCTATTTAATGCAGTGCTGGGCAATCTTCGTGCAGCTGGAAGATTCCCTGTGGCTTGGAGCCAAAGGCATTCTACTTCCTATTTATGTGGGCATCATCAGCATGTTGGTTCTCCATTCGAGGGATGCTGTCACAGAAGATATATTCACCTATGGTGGTTAGCAACAAGGCTGGATAGTGATGAAATTCTTTACGTGTAAACTGAATGGACCTAAGAACACGGTCTCCTTCATCACCAGTCTGGCTTCAGGAATTCATTCTTTCTGTAGAACAACCTTGAACTGTAGCACTTACTTGAATGAAGCTGAATTCCCTCCAGTTGAGAGAGTTAGAGATGGACGGGAGTGAGGTTATGGCAAGTAACGAGAGCAAGCCCAGAGCCATGATACCAAAAGAGATGTATATCTCCATCCTCCAGACTTCCTCTTCCACCCAGGCATCTGTTCTCCTCTCCACCTGAAAGAACAGTTGGAAAGTCATGTTGAATAAACCAAGAAATGGGGAACAGGATGGCGAACTGAATAAAAGCTCGAGGGCAGGCTTAATTTCCATATAATGTTTGCCAGCTTCAAGATGTCTTGAAACTTTGGACAAAGGAAGCCTGTCCTTCAGCCAACATTTTTTTCTGATCAGATACTGATTCCTAACCTCCATTTGACTTGAAGAAATAGGAGTGGGAACTTTTCATATCTGGGAATAGTCACAAGGGTTCCAACCGTCAGTTTTGGCCCGCTCCTACCATTGCCCCAGGCAGCTTCACACAGCTTGCATACACAATGTGGGGCTGTTTCATAATTGTTCATCAATGATAGTGAAGTTTAAATAGTTTAAGCTGGCACATGGTTAATTCCCACAAGTGACGTACAAGTGCTTCAGTTGTGCCACTGGCAATTAGCTAACAGCTTCCTTCCTATTGCTCTTAATACTGCATAAAAGGAGGGTTCACCTGTGTTTTCAATGCAGTACACTGTGCATGTGTTGGATTTTTAGTACTGCCCTCCAAAAGTTTCCTTTAAGTCACTTATTGGCATCTAAGTGTACTTAGGGTTTTGCTTCTCCTAGGCTGGATGGAAAGCTCTTTCTGGATCACAATCTGTTTAGAAACAATTTTCCTAGAGATGAGCATGTATCAATACACCAATCAACAACCATATATCTTGGCATAAAAATATTGCAAAGGAAAAGTTTCAGAGCTTTTGTAATTGTGCCATGTGACTTAGGGCTGGGCAAAAACTTTTGATCAATCAGCAAGATTTAACCTGTTCCTTTTCCTGGTGGACACATGCGGATTGAAACAAAAATGTGAATTTAATTCTGCTGCAGGAGTGTCTCCCACTTACCTTCACTTACCATCTGGTACCAATAAAGAGAGTGAATCCTACTTATACCCACACATAGGTATCTGGATGAGGCTGACAGCTGGATTGGCAACAAAACTATTATTCTAAACCCAGTCACCCGTATAGGAGCCACCAAATTGATTTCCCCATATTGTTGAAACGCGGCAGAAAGAAAACAGAATGTCTATAACTCTCACCGACCTCTGCAAGTTTGTGCCAGGAATTTGGTGCCTGGAAGATCAAACCACACTTTGCCATTTGAAAGGTACAGTTAAAATGGCAAAGAGGCTCTAATTTCAAGCAAAGACCACAAACATCACTCTCTGAATGCTGGACAGCTTAAGGGCTTAATGGGATTTGGTTTAAATGCTTTTAGGAGAGAAGTCTTCAGGCTAATGGGGAAAAAACCTCTCAGAAATGGGATTTGTACTATATTACAGAGACTGACACTTAGCTCCTTCCATTTATTCTGTTAAATCAATGTGATTCATGAAGCTTGGGGGTGGGGGTAGGGATAACTAGCATAAGAAGAGAAACAAACAGGCCAGGAAAACCTGCCTGAGATTTATTTACAAAAATCACCCAAAAGAAACAGGAACAGAATTAAAAGCTATGGTGGGGATATTGTGTTCCTAGCAGCAAATACAGGAAGGCGAATGGGCAAGAGATCATGCAGGCAAGCTAGAATGGAATTGAAATTCTTGTTTTTCTACACTGCATCTCTTATTCACTTACTTAAGTAGAACTGAGGTCCACTGGCATCAGTGGTAGGATTCAGCCAGTTTGTACCACTTTGGGAGAACCGGTTAAGCTTCTGAGCAGTTTGATGAATGGGTTGTTGGAAGAAATCATTAGGGCAGAGAACCGGTTGTTAAATTATTTGAATCCCACCACTGCCTGGCATCCACTTCATCAAGTTTATAATCTTTATTGATAGGAAAAAATACCTGTAGTTCAGGGTTGAACTATGGGGTCCTTGCTAATTTAGAAACTGAAATGAAACCATTATATTGAAGTGTTCCATAGAAATCATCTAATCATACCTTAGATTTTGAGGTTAAGCGTGGATCTTGACTTCCACATAGAAAGAAACCACTTTTCTAACTTTTCAGAAGGGCAAAGGAAAACCAGGAATATCCACAGTTCACACTGGATAATGCCTTCTGACCCAGCTTTCCTCCTACTGGCTCAGGTGAATGCTATGTCCAGGATCTCCTTCTTTTCATCCTTGGAGAATGGGAACCTGGGCTAAATCATTCATGTCTCATTTCATGGGAAATACTTGGAAGCCTAAGTTAGCTAGAATATAACAGCCAGTTTTCTGGTATCTAGAATATAGACTAAGAATGGCTATGGAAATTTTGGGATGGAAAATCCAGAAAACAAGTGTGGAAGGAGACTAAAATCTCTTTGTTTTGTTGCATGGTTAATCAGAACAAAATGCCAGAAAGAACCCACATTTTGTATCTTTTAAAGGTACAAACATCATAACAATGGAGTCCTCAGAGCTCTCTGAGCTTGTTTTCTTGCAGACCTTTCATTAACGAAGTAGGTAACATAATTAGTGCTAATGAAACATCTGCAAGAAAATAACCAAGCTTAGGGAGCACCACGGTTCAACCTTGAGCTACAAATACTCTCTTCTTTTGATTACAACTATGGAATGAATGAATGGTGGGCAATCCAAACTTCCACGGCTGAATGTGGCCTTAGGCTCCTCTATTCAATGAAGTCCTTCTGAGAATATTCAAAAACTTTAGGGCTAATCCTGATAGCAGCTCAATGAAGTGTTTTCTGTCCTTAAAGTAACAATCTCCAAACTATCTCACTCCCAAAGCTAAGAAAAAGCTCCCATGACATTCTAATCCTGGCAATTTGGTATCACCATTCCACTGCGGCTCCCATCCTGCCAAAATATAATTACAGTAGTCCTTGTCTTATGATCACAATTGACCCAAAATTTCTCTTACTAAGACAGTTGTTAAATGAGTTTTCCCAATTTTATGACCTTTCTTGCCATGGCTGTTAGTTAGTAATCTAGTTGTTAAGTGAATCTGGCTTCCATACTGACTTTGTTTGTCAGAAGGTCACAAAACGTGATCCAATGACCCTAGGACATTGCAACCATACAAATCAGTTGCCAAGCATCTGAATTCATGATCATGTGACCACGGAGATGTTGCTAGAGTTCTATTGTAACTTCGGTCACTAAACAAATGGTAGTTAAGTTGAGGACTACTTATACAGCCCACTAGCTAGCACAAGGTTGCGGCAACTTGGAATGAAGCAGCGGAGCTAGGGATTCCTAAGATCATGCAATGAAAGGAGTAAGTAGCCAGCTTTCCAATTTCCTTCCTCAGGGTACCGTACCTGCTTGACTGCCTCGTTGAGCAACAGATAGCGGTGGGACCGGCGCATGGGTAGGCACAGACTATAGACAGCATGCAATGCTGCGCAGAAAAAGCTCAGGAGGCCTATCTGCTTCCGGTGTTGCAGCCACTGGTCAAGCCAGTCAGGGAAACGCCGGTACTTTGTGCAGTGGTACAGCTGAAAGATGGCTGCGAGCACTCCAGGAAGGTAGACCAAGGAGAGCATGACGTAGGCCACGCAAGGCAAGGTGGTGTTGACGATCTCCACAGGGATCTTGTAGAATTTGTTCTTCTTCTCTCGAATGTAAGGATGCAAGACTTGCCGGATGAAGTTGTAGGTGTAGAAGCAGAGAAAGAGGCCCAGGGCCAAGAAGACGGGAATCTTCCAGGCAGGGAGGAGACGCAACGGAATATTCTCTATTTCCCGAGCTGAGAACAAGGCACCCATGTCCACTGGGATGAAGCCCAGGGCATGAGCAATTTCAGCAACAGCCTGTTTGGCTTCTTGGTTGTCAGAGCAAATGAAGACCTGCAACGAAAAGAAGGGGGGGGGGAAACATCTGGGAAATTGCAACCAGGAATCCAAGGCAGTTGTGCAACCAAAGGAATCTTAACAGGATAGTGTTGTCTAGTAGTTAAGGTTTTAGAATTGGACCCGAGAAGCCCAGTTTTAAATTCCTATTCAACCATGGGATTCATTGCTAATTTGGAGCCATTTCTTCTCTTTCACTCCAACCTACCATACAGAGTCAAGTGAGAGGAAATCCACTTGGATACCGTATGAGCTCTCAGGTGAAAGAGAGGATATAAATGTGGATGAATGGGTGGATGGATGACCACAGCAGCAGCAGTAGCAGCAGTGAAAAATGATTCACCTAACAACATTTTCTTTTCTGTTCCTGGATGCTTTTACTTCCCATGATAGTCTTATTCTTGAATGTGGAAATAAGCATTCCCCCCAGTGAACCATTATGAATAACAAGAAGCTTCTGGTGAGGGATCGTAAAAAAGGTACTGAAGTACTTTATATGAATTGTAATGAATCAATAATTTTCTATAATGATGACTACCTCAATTACAAGGCCAGCCAGAATTTGATGCCTGAGCCTAATATTTTATTGGTTGCCCATCTCATGAACAGCGTGTTGTCGTAAAGGTAGAGCTCAGGCTTCACAAGCAGGAGACTGTGAGTTTGATCCTTGGTAGTGGCAGATATTTCTCTCTCTGGGAGCAAAAAGAAAATATCTGCTGTGAACTCCACATAGGGCATTCAGTCAGGAAATGCTCAGCTCCATTCAGCCAGCCAGATTCCAGCAAGGGATTACAGGTTTGTTAAAAGAAAAAAAAATTGGTTGCCAATCTTACACAAGATAACTTTGATGACTTACAATCATACATATATGATGTATGATGGAGGATATATGTGTGCGTGCGTGCACACACACACACACACACACTCTCATAAATAAATTAATCCAATTGCTAAAAGTCAATTATAGATGGGGAGGCAGGGTGGGAAGGGGAGATGGGATCTGTTATTAATCGATCAACTTCCTCCATTGGGGTGGAGATGGTTGATGCTTTTCCCTTTTTTTCCAAGCTAAATTCACACAGTTTCTGATGGGTCTCAACCTTACGCAGAAGAAACTGGTTAAAAACTATGAGGAGGGGAAAATCTCAGAATCTCAGAGACGCCGGTATGTCCACAATGTACCAAAGGGGGGGGGGAAAAACATTACCTGTTTGTTCCCATCTCTGGAACCTGACTGCAGGGTCCAGGCTGAAATGACATTAAATCCTTTGACCACTATGCAGGTTGGCAAAAGCGAGGCTAGATACTCTGCATTGGATTCTTTGTGATGATTTATTTCAGCATTGTTGCTAACATCCACCAGTACTTTGCCAGAAAGCTCGTTGTTGAGGTCACAGAGCGTGGTGTAGTGTTCTCTGAAAATTGCCACAAAGATGATATCGGCCTTCTTTATGGCGTCTGCCTGGCATGTTACCTCAACTGCAGAAGGAAAGAGGCTGGTGTTGCGCTTCGGGTTCCGGCTTCCGACCACCACTTTGAAACCTGAGCACACCAGGCGCATAGACAAGGAGCGTGCAAAGTCTCCACTTCCCAGAATCCCAATTGTCCTGCTCCCAGCAGCTGGGGCCAGACTTAAATTACTGTCCGTGTTCTGATGATCTAGCAGTGGTTTGGCCATGTCGCCTCCTGGCATCCCGTAAAGCTAAAGCAAATAAACACAAGGTCATATCAAACATCCACATTGGGTTTTTTCATGAAGCATCTGCTTGATTATTGACGGTATATAGCTTAAGTCCCACACTGAAAGTTCTTTGAACATCTCAAATAAAAATCAGAATAATTTCTTTATCTCATGCAGCTGTACACTATAATATAAGTGTTGAATGTTATTATAACATTTATAATAAATACTTAAACACTTAAATCAGTAAATACTTTAATCAGTAAATACTTAAATCAGGCTTCAGAATTTGTCATTAAAATGTTGAATTATACTTAAGTATTAACTCATTAAGTAAAGAAGAAAACACCTACTTACAAACTTCATTTAAACTTACTTCTAAAATCTTTGGTGTTTCCTGATGAAGAGCTAAATTTTACTTTAAAAGCAAGTCTTAATATGTTTTTATAAATACATAGTGTTTAACAGAATATTTTTAGCACTTGAGTAAGTATGAATTAGAAAATATTACACATTTCCATGATTAGCTCATAAGAATTAAATTTCATGATGTTTCTATGCATATTAGTTTATTTAAAACATTGTCCAACAACCTTTATTGTTTTTGCATTATCTTTAGAGAAAACATCAAAAACCTATCTGCAATAAAGATTCTGGAATAAATACAGATTAGAATTGCATTTCATAATATGAAACCCCTGATTTGAGAACCCATTCCTGTAATTACAGCAGAAACATTCTTATATTATACTCATTTAATCCAATGAACAAAATTATCAGCTTAAAAAACAGATCAGTTTTTGAGCTCTATTTCAGAAGTTCCTTTTAAAAGCACTCTTAAAAGCTATACTCTTAAAGCAGCATGAGTGACATGCAGTCCTTTAGATGACCTCGGATTATAACTCCCATTATCCCTCACTACTGGACATGCTAGCTAGAGAAGATTGGGAATGAGACAGCTTCAGAGCTAATTGTTGCCCAGTTCAGACTTCAAACAAACAGAACCTTATCTGTCTAAGTGAAATTAAGATATATAAATATTCAGTAATGTCAAGATAGAATTTACCTAGAGATTTGTCTCATGAACCAGTGATGCCTCAAACGTGCAAGCTGTTCTCCCCACGGATAAGGAACTGTCCTAGTCTCTTTTATAGTCTGGCACCTGTGTTTTGCAAACTGCCATTCAAAATGAGCAAGGGCAGATTTGCAAAGTTTTAAATTAAACATTGTGCTCTCTTGTTTTGATTTGCCAAGAAAATAGATGATGCAATCCATCTAAATCTGAAGCATTACATTCTTTGAAAATAAAAGCAAAAGAGTGGTATTTTTAAAAGGAGAGAACTAGATGAAGTCTGGACTCTCATTAATGGTAGATTTAACTAAGACCATTGTTTGAAGTCAACATGATTAAGACAGCTTGTTCAAAGATTCTTATAAAGGAGTGTGGTCTAGTATCTCACCTTAAAACAGGTGAGTCAGACGCCATTGGTGGTCCACTAAGCCTTTATTTTTGCTGATTCATATGCAGTGCTTATCTGTAGCAAGACAGTGTTGGATATACAGAGATACCTTGTTCCTGCTTTCCAAAATTGGAACTAAGGTAAATCCAATGAAAATGACTCCCTCCTTGGTGCAACTGTACCCTTTGTTCTGATTTTGTTTGGAACTCATATGATACTGGTGGGGAAAAAAGCAAGGCGGTTTTTTTAAATCCCAAATTTTTAACTGCAATCACTTCTCTTTCTTTCCAATCACAGCAGTAGCAAGAAAGATCTGGCATCTTGGTACAGGCAGAGAGAATAAGCAATGGCCCTGGGAGAAGTTCTTAAGTGACTAAACACAGACAAGATCGTATAAAAGTTAAAGATAAAAGGCTTCCTCAGTCCAGTCATGTCGGATTCGGGGGTGGTGGTGGTGGTGCTCATCTCCGTTTTATAGCCAAGGAAGCCAATGTTATCCAAAGACAATTTCTGTGGTCATGTGGTCAGCATAGCTATATGCCAAAGGCGCATGGAACACTGTTACTTTCCCACCAAAGTGGTACCTGTTTGTCTATTCTCATTTGCATGCTTCTGAACTGCAAGGCGGGAGGGTATTAGTTTTGCACAATTTATTTCTCTCTAGGGCTGCATGGAAACATGGATAAAGTCTGTTTTTCAAAATGCAATTTTTGAAATATTTTAAAAATAAAAATCACTTTTAAGAGCAGTCCCAAAATTACCAGGAGTGTGATACTAATGGGAATTGCTCTGCATTTGGGATTATGGTTAGGCAGTTGCACTTGGGGTCCATATCATACTAATTTACATTTAGCTGGTATATATTATTGGGTTTTATTTCATTTACTGATATTGTATATTCTGAGGAGCCAATTTGGTGTAGTCGTTAAAGCACCATCTACAAACTGGGACACTATGAGTTCTAGTCTTGCCTTAGGCATGAAGCCAGTTCGTGATCTTAGGTCAGTCACTGCCTCGGAAGGAGGCAACGACGAACCACTTCTAAAATCATTCCAAGAAAATTGAAGAGACTTGTCCAGGCACAGGAATGAAAATCTCACTTGGAGGAATACACCCAAGAAAAGAATCTTGAAACCTCTAAGTAGCTTGTACTCAAGTTACACGAAGGACTGCTTTTTTTGCATTCTTAGATCAACAGTAAATCTATTTTACTAACCTACTAGTAACAATCATTACCCTGTCGATAAAATGGAAGGGTCAGTGATGGCTCTGCATTTATGGAACTCAGTTTTAGTAGGAATACACAGGGCTCCATTCCCACATTTTAAAGCTTCATGATATTTATTTTGATCCTGTCTTTGTTAGTTTTTATAAAGAACTCAAGCGACAACATTTCTAACAGTCCTTCCTTCTCCTATTCTTTCTCCACAACAACCCTGTGAGGTGAGTTGGGCTGAGAGAGAATGACTGGTCTAAGATCACCCAGCTGGGTTTCATGCCTAAAGTGAGACTAGAACTCACAGACTCCTGGTTTCTAGCCTAGTTATTATAGTATGCATTTAGTATTTCTTTATCTTCTGTAAATACTATGCAATTCTAGCTGTATTTTATTTTTTAACAAACCATGTTATGAATGCTCATTCTGAATTATTTTTCTTAATACTGCAATGCTTTATGCTTTAAAAAATTCATAGTTGATTATTTATTGTAAAAACATATGCAGGGAGCTGTCTTGGGAGGTTTTATTCTAAATGGCAGTCTGCAAATCTTTTAAATAGATAAATAATTACAGGCTATGAGAGAGGTAGCCAAAACAGTCTTTATAAAAGGAAACAACTTTGGAGAGTTAAGCTTTTATTGTTGTTGTCTAATGCAGCAGGTATTGCAGGGCATTTTAACCTGCAGCTCCTTATTGTTGGAAATATAAAGGGGAGAACAACATCATATCCAGCACCTAGCAAGCATGTTGTTTGGACACAAAATAAATGAAACCAAATTACTACACAAGGAAATAGAAGCATCAGACAGAGCAGCTTCCCTGAACATGGATGACCTGGATCATCTTAAACTTAGATGGTGACTTTGGTGTATGTATTCGCAAGTTTTCCCATGAGATTATTAAAAGCTTGGTGGAACCATTGAAAATTAGTTTAATCACTTATCCAGTGAAGGAGGGAGAGCGGGAGAAAAATACTGATAAATACAGGTAGTTCTTTACTTAATGACTGTAATTGAGTCCAAAATGTTTGTTGCTAAGCAAGGTAGCTGTTGAGGTGTGAATTTTGCCCCATTTTGCAACCTTTCTTAAATCAGTTGAGTGAATCACTAAAGTTTTAAAGTTAGTGACGTGGTTGTTAAGTGAATCTGGTTTCCCCACTGACTTTGCTTGTCAGAAAGTCACTAAAGGTGATCACATGACCCCAGGATACTGCAACCGTCATAAATATGAATCAGTTGCCAAGTGTCCAAATTTTGATCATGTGACCATGGGGGATGCTGCAATGGCAGTAAGTGTGAAAACTGGTCATACGTCACGTTTGTCAGTATCTTTGTAACTTCAAACAGTCACTAAACAAATGGTTGTAAATGGAAGACTACCTGCAACTTTTATTGCCTCACTTTACAATACAATACAATAGCAGAGTTGGAAGGGACCTTGAAGGTCTTCTAGTCCAACCCCCTGCCTAGGCAGGAAACGCTATACCGTTTCAGACAAATAGCTATCCAACATCATCTTAAAGACTTCCAGCATTCACAACTTCTGGAGGCAAGCTGTTCCACTGATTAATTGTTCTAACTGTCAGGAAGTTTCTCCTCATTTCTAATTTGCTTCTCTCCTTGATTAGTTTTCACCCATTGCTTCTTGTTCTACCCTCAAATGCCTTGGAAAATAGTTTGACTCCCTCTTCTTTGTGGCAACCCCTGAGATATTGGAACACTGCTATCATGTCTC